TCTCTATTCTGCTGTCAGGGTTTCACCTCTTTCCTGTGATAGATTCTAAAAGAAACCTGCTCGTGCACTGCACGTAACCCTGCGGAGCAGATCTGCGGGTGTTGATTTGTGTTAGTGAGTGCACAACTTGCCGGAGCCAGGATCGCGTCCCCAAACGGGCTGCGCATACGCGACACACTCCACACTCGTGCGTGCAGAGAGGTCCGTGAGCGTGCAACGTGTCACGCGTGCCCTCGTGGGCACACCAATTGTATCCCATACGTAAGACGTGTGTCCGAGCACAGGAGCGTGCGGGCGCGTGTAAGGCCCACGTGGCCACCGCAGGGAAGCCCGCCCGGCCACGGAACAGAGAGGTGAACAACTGACGCTGCGGTGTGCTGTGCACACGGGTGTGCGCACACGGCTCCGCGGAGAAGGCGCGATTCGTCAAGACTGATGTATGTGTATGTGCACATGTATGACCTGAAGCTGTGCAGGTGTGCACACAGTGTATGTGCTTAAGATGGCGATTGCACGCGCTGTGTACACGTGCATCCACAGTAACATGTACACACAGTCACATGCATACAGGAAACACGGCTGGACGTCGTGCGCTGCACAAAGGTACATGCATATTACGACGTAGGCAAAATATGTTCACATGTATGTCTACATAAACGTCATGCGTTCAGCTCCGTAAGTATAACGGATGCTATAAACATACCTACGTCGCATGTAGCAGGATGTACCCCTATGCATATACGCACAAACTTCACGTGTACGTGAAGATCGGTGAATGTATGCTTTACAGAAATCGTAACAACTTATAAAGCTTGTACAGCGCTGTGCAGCGCGTGTCTTCATGCCTGTTTGTGCACGCGTGATCCTGTGCGTACCTGGAGAGGGAGGGCGATGGCGCTGAGCACACGGTGCGTGCACAAGAGCTCCGCACGCTCGCTACGTGCAGGTACGTCTCTGTGCATGGGTGTGTTTATATCTAAAAGCCTTGAATACGTGTGTGCAAAGCAAGCAGGCTCGTGTGCACGTATGTCATGGCATGTACATACGTGTTGTGAAACCTATGCACGTAGAAGGCTTCCGACGCCCACATGAAGGCCCACCTACGCATGTGTGTGCGTGCACCATGGTCTTGCACGTGCGCCCGTGCACACATGTCGACACGTACGTGTTCTTACACGCATCG